TGTATGTGTAAGTTTTCAGTAGGCTTTGAACTGTATTTCCCTCTGGTTTTTCTCACCAGCTAAGCATTGTTTCTATCTTGTATCTGACTCCCTGGCTAATCCTCCCTATGCAGTTAAAGTACCCCCATTTTCCCTATTTCACCCTTGATAATACCTGTCTCTTATGGTTCCCCCTCTCTTGAGCTCCTTCCCCACTACCCCTGTGGTTCACTTAGTATAACAGTTTCTAGTTCTATCCATTTACCTGAAAATTTCATGATTTCACCTTTACCGCTGACTAGAACTCCATTGTGTAAATGTACCACATTTTTATTATCCACTTATCAGTTGAGGAACATTTACGTTTCTTCCATTTCTCAAGTAGCGTAAAAAAAACAAAAAAAACAAAAAAAAAACTAGCCACAAACATGGATGTACAAATATCTCTGGTTCTTTGGGTATATGCCAAGGTATATAGGATCATATGATAAGTTCATTTTTAGTTTTTTTTTTAAGGGTTCTTCACACACTGCTTTCTGTAGGGGTTGCATGAGTTTGCAATCCCACCAGCAGTGGATGCGTGTTCCCCTTTCCCCACATCCTCTCCAACATTTGGGATCATTTGTTCTCTTGATCTTAGCCAGTCTGACTGGGGTAAGATGAAATCTTAAAGTGGTTTTAATTTGCATTCCCTAATTACTAGTGATGTTGAGCACCTTTAAAGATCTTTTAGTCATTATTATTTCTTCTTTTGAGAACTCTCTATTCAGATCTATAGGCCATCTTTTTTTTTCATCTTTTTGAGACAGGGTCTCCCTGTAGCCCCAGCTGTCCTGGATTCACTACAGAGACCAGGCTGGCCTCCAACTCACAGAGATCTGCCATAGGTCACTTGTTTTCTTGATTCTTTGTCTTTTGAGTTCTTTAGATATTCTGGATGTGAAACAACTTGGTTAGATGTGTCCCTGGTGAAGATTTTCATACTCTGTGAGTTTCGTCTTCACTTCCTTAGGTGTTTTTTTGTTTTGTTTTGTTTTGTTTTTCTGTACAGAAGCTTGAGTTTAATGAGGTCCCACTTGTTGATTGTTGACCTTAATTCCTGAGCAACTGATGTCTGATTTAGAAAGTCCTTTCCTGCACCTATGTTTTCTTCTAACAGTTTCAGAGTTTCAGGTTTCACATTGAGGTCTTTGATCTACTTAGAGTTGACTTTCGTGAAGAGTGAAAGGGTCTAGTTTTACTCTTCTAGAAGTAGAGATCCAGTTTTGCCAGCACTATTTGCTGAAGAAGCTGTCTTTCCTCTAGTGTATATTCTTGGCACCGTTGTCAATACATCAGGTGTTGAAATTGTATGCACTCATGTTTATGTATTCAGTTATGTTCCATTCATCTGTCTGTATTTGTGCCAGTACCATACTGTTTTTATAACTGTAGTTCTGTATTATAGTTTGAGACTGGTATAGTAATCCCCCCAGCATTGCTGTTTTTGCTCAGGATTGCTTTCATTATCTGGGCTCTTTTGTATTTCCATATACATTTTAGTATGGTTTTTTTCTAATTTTGTGAGGAATGTCATGGGGATTTTGATTGGCATTGTGTTGAATCTATAAATGACTTTTGGAAGGATGGTCATTTTCACAGTATTAATTCTTATGATCCATGAGCATGGGAGGTCCTTCCATCTACTGGTGTCTTCTTCCTCAATCTCTTTAAAGCTTTAAAATTTTCATTGTAGAGGTCTTTAACATCTTCGATCAAGTATATTCCTAGATATCTTATGTTTTTGAAGACTACAGTGAGTGGGAGAGTTTCCATGTACTCTTTTTCTGATTGTTTGTTATTGATATATAGAAAGGCTACTGATTTTTGTGGACTGATTTTCTAAGCTGCCACTTTACTGAAAGTGTTAATCATTTCTAGGAGTTTTGTGGTACAATTTTTGGTATCTCTTCTGTTAATAATATCGTATAATCTGCAAATAGGTATGACTTGATCTCTTTTTCCAATTAGTATTCCTTTAATTTCCTTCCCTTGTCTTATTGCTCTAGCAAGAGTTTCAAGAACTAAGTTGAGAAGAAGTGGAAATAGTGAACAGCCTTGTCTGGTTCCTGATTTTATGGGAATGCATTCAGTTTTTCTCCATTTTGAATGATGTGGCCATGGGTTTGTTGTACATAGCTTTAATTATGTTGCATACGTTCCCTCTGGTCCAATTTCCTCTGGGACTTTTAACATAAACTCTTGTTGAATTTTTTCAAAGGCCTTTTCTGCATCTGTTGAAATGATCCTATGATTTTTGTTTTTAAATCCATTTATATTATTTATTACATTTATTGACATGCATATTGGACCATCCCTGCATCTCTGAAATAAAGCTAACGTGATTATGGTAAATGATCTTTTTTTTAAAAAAAATATTCTATTTATCATGTTTATTTTATGTGTATGAGTGTATTGCCTGAATATATGTAAGTGCACCTGTGTCGTGCAATGCCTGTGGAGATGAAAAGAGGGTATTGGGTTCCCAGGAACTGGGGCTAAGTGTCTATCTTTTTTATCTTTTCAAAGAACCAGCTCTTACATGCATTGACTCTTTGTGTTGGTTTCTTTGTTTGGGTTCATTAATTTCTGCACTGATTTTGTTATTTCTTCTCATCTGCTGTATTTGGATTTCATTTGTTCTACCTTTCCTGTGTCTTGAGTTGCAATGTAAGTCATTTATTTGTGCTCATTTTGATTTTTTTTAATGTAGCCTATAAACTTCCCTCTTAGGACTGCTTTTAAAGTGTCCCAGAGGTTTTGTTGTGTTGTATTAGCCTTTCATTTAGTTCCAGGAA